TAGATTAATGGATTTCCATTAACAATATAATAAAGCAATAAGCGCGACGTATAATTCCCTGATCCAATCTTTTCAATCTTCAAAATATCCTCGACGAAATTAGTTCGAGACTGCAAAAAGAGTTCTGATCTCAAGAGACACTGTCATTCTATAAGATTATAAAAATTGACTTGTGACTGTACGTTACTTGGAATATAATACACGGCAACATTTCTACTGTCATAAAAGATATAAAGATTATTGTGTTTCATCTTTACTTTTAAGTGAAAATAAAACCGAAAATAAAAGTGAAAATTACTTTAAGAAGAATTAAAATGTTTGATTAAATAAATAACACTTCAATCTACATATTTTACATCTAATGTTGATTTCTTTTTTATGTAAATAGTCTTAACATTTTGACAATAACTCATTTCATTCATAGATTTGGAATGAAGCAGTTATGGTCTGTTAATTGATTTATTTTCACGTTTATAAAAGACTTGGAACATGCTTTAAGGAAAAAGGCTAAAAGTCTTACGTCATGGACGAAATATAATATACCCGATCTGATGAAGATGTGGTGAATCATGATAAGAATATGATACAGTTCTTATCACAATTTTATTTCAAAAACAGTTGATCTTTTTATTATTAGTTAGAAATTTCAAAATTGGCTAAAAAGTAATCAATTGACTTTTTTCAGAATAGAAAAAAGTTGCTGGTTATAGGGAAATTTTTAAAATTTATTAGTTAATTTGTGGCAAATGGGATAAGAGGACAAATTTTTTAGTTCTTTAAATTTGTAGAAGTGTAAGCTTCTTGATATATGGTTATATTTAAGGTCTTAAATTATAATTATTTTTTTTACTTAAAAACAGTTCTTTAACAATGTGATCGCATCTAACTCGTGTATTATATATTTATACAAAATAGACATTGTAAATAATCATGTGATTATTTAATTCTTTCGTTTTGATTTAATCAAGTAGCCTATAATAGTAGAATTACACTTTTTTATTCAAAGGTAACTGGACAAAAATGATCTTTTACTAAAAGCTGAACTTAAAGTATATTCTGTCCTTATGTTCTTGTTTCACTACGTTTATGTTTTAAATTTATTATTGTATCCCCTTTATATGCTTAAAGCTAACTACTGTTACAAAAAAAAAACGATTTTTTAAAAATTTAATAATTAATTAATTTTGGTAAATAGATTTAGGTTGATACAAAGGAACGATATTGAGGAAACAAGCTTTATGCATGTCAAAATATACCTAAAATATGTATTTATGCAACCGAAAATCCAAACTAATGCCTCAATAAGTTACAGTTACCATTCAGGTTTGGCACGAGACCAAGCGTCTTGAAAACTTCACGACACAACTGGCGCTAACTTGTGGCTAGTTTTCTGAATTTCAATTAAATAAATGAAAGTAAAAGAAATTTTGACAATCACTAGAAATAAAGGGATAATAATAATTATTATTATTGATTTAAATCCATTGGAAATAGTAGTGTTATATAATAATCAAAACAATGTTATCGTAAATAAAAATAATGTTACTCTCATATACGAATAGTTATATAACATTCTTGATACTATTTCACTTTAATAAAGTACGCGGCAGAGTTTTCCAATAAATTTTAAAGTTATTGCCTGCTTTTGCTGTTTCATTACAGTTTCCAACAGTTCCAACAGGAATCGGTTATGAATGACGGCTTCTGCTCATATTATTTAATAATTTGAAATACCGTCAAGAACGTGAGTAAATTTTTTGATAATTCTATAAATATTACTTTAAAATCTAAAATAATTTCTCTGAATCTATGTATTTTTAAATATTAAATTAAATAGTAGTATAAGTCGGCTCTTCTACTTTTATGTGACATAAGATTTATTTTTTGAAATAACCAAAACCTCGAACTTTAGCTCTTTAATTATCTAGTAAAATAACTAAGATGCTGAAAAAGAGTTTTTATTTAAAAACTACTGTAAGCCCAAGTTGTTTGTTGCAACGTACCTATTTTTAATACCTATAATTTTTAATAAAGGATACACTTAATTTAAAAAAATAATTTTCTGATCTTATTTAACAAGTAATATTTAAAAAAAAACAGAAACATTGACAAAAAATTAATACAAAAACAGAACTAAATTATTTAAATTTTGCACGTTAGGTTCTTTTAAACTCCGCTATTTTTCCTGAGCTAAAAAAAACATGGCTATTTAAAACGATGAAAAGAAAGATGTTTCTAATTTATAGAAATAAGAAAAATAAACTCTGTTAAGTCAGTAGTGGCCTAGTGGTTTAAGGGCCCGCCTCTCGTTAAATTATCACTTGTTAATTACTGATTAATGCAATCCCAAAGAGGCTCATGTCCGGCAGGCGGCCGGTCGTAAAAACAATTAGGCAAAACTATTCACAACATGTAAGGCAGACCCTGGCTAAAGCTGGGAAATTGCCAGGTAGAAGAAGAAGAAAAATAAACTCTGATTTTACTACTTAAAAAGGTTAAAAAAGTTTTCTTCCCAATACTTTACTCGAATAAAATACATAGTTACTTATTAAGTAATAATTCTACGAAATAGATAACGGAAGGAAGGCTTAGTAAATAAACGAATGTTATTAAAATAATAAATTAGAAAACCTTACTTATGTATGTTAGCAACTGATTAAAAGACAATTTATTTTGATTACTTTTGGTACAATATTGTATTATGTTTAAATAGTGTGTCGTATCCCACAAGCAGCAGAGACAAGACTAAACCTCTTAGCATCCAATGGATTCACCGTGCGGGTGCCAGGTCCATCGCGTTGCAGGGAGAGGAGCTTCAATAGTGCCTGCGACTTACGACCAGGTGTAGGTTTGTTTATACTTGTTTATTTCTTAAATTCTTCGGTTTCAAAGTAAGATGAAGAAAACCAGGATCTTGAGCTCGTACACTATATTTTATGTATCATTTCTGTGGTTTCATAGATAAATGCATAAAAGCATTTCCACAGCAGTACTATACAAATTATATGGACAGTGCAACTTACTTACTTCATCTCATAAATTAATAGATGCAACTGAGTAGCTAGTTCTTTCCTTTTTTAATAAATTGACAAGTACCTACAGGATTTACTACGTGATTTTTTATTTCTGACTATAAACTACATGCTCCCGACGTTTGGCTACTTTACAGCAACCGTGATCACGGGTAGACGAGAGGTAAGTACCCTGAAACATTTTGAGAACCCTTATCCTCAAATGGATTTATTAAAATACTCATAAATGCATATATGTCTAAATACTTATAAAAGTATTCTCCAGGACTATTTGAAATATTAAACAAATTCAGACCAAGATAAGGTTTTCTTTTTTGAAAATTCATTCGTAACATTGATTACAATGTTTTGATTTCCTTGAGCTTATGTGAATATAGGAATATATTCGAGTATTAGTAAAATTATTTTCAACTGAGAAATTGTCCGGATATTAAAAACATCGACCTAAATTTGATTCCATGATACTCGTAACACTGTGATGGGCATTAAGTTTTGTAGAGACTCATTTAAAATATCATCTTTCCAAAGAAGTGGTTTTAGGCCTATAAAATAATACCATTTTTAAAATCGATTATATCTTATCTATATCTATACTTATAATAAAACTGTAGAGCGATCAATTCTGTACATAAAATATATTTAAAAAATAACTATCAAGGGGTGGTTAGGGATCGCTACTGATACCAAAAATGCAATCAGTAAATTTTTTTCTTACATGCGTCTCACTGCTGACCGCGAAAGGCATACACTATCTCGCTAATCAGAAACCTACACTGACAGGGAATTACGTCTCACTGCTGACCGCGAACGAAGCTTTGCACAGAAGTATTTTCGTTCTATAGGTACCTTTACCTTACAAGAAGTTACACGCTGACGGAGTCGCGGGCACAGCTATCTATACTTTCCTGCCGGAATAAAAAGCTAATCGACTAACCTGGTTCAGTCTATCGCACGTCTTTAGATAATATATACGATATGTATATATATAGAATAGCTTATAATTCTATTTTTAAAGACCTCTTTGACTAACTGTGTTTTTATAGCCACTGATAATAATAAACGCCGTTTATATAAATGCTTTTGCTATCCTATTAAAACCAAATAGTGAATGTTTAAGGCAAAGATAAGTAATTCTAATTTTTTCTTGTAATTTTTAATAGAGGATTTAAAACACATAAAAAAAAACTTTTTAAAAAGTAAACACTTCTTCATTATATGCTGAGAACTCTAAAAGAAGTCTGAATAATTTAAGCTAGAGAGATATAACTAACCCTTAGCCGTCCCAACTCTTTAATTCACAACTTAATGAGCTTAATAAAGTTATTTGGATTAAAAAAGACGACGAACTAAGTTTCGTAAATAAAAATATACAACTTTTAATTATGGTATTTTAAACTTGTAATTGATTTAAAGTTTATTTAGAAAATTTTACTTGTAATGCAATTCTAAAAAAAAATACTGTTTAAATGAAACTAATATTTTGGGATTACTACGCATATTTTATAAGTTTTAAAAACTACATGCTCTCGAAGTTTCAATTATTTTGTAGCAATCGTACTCACGGTCAAATGAGATGTCTCGTAGTAATCCGAAATTATTACATTAATTCAAATGACTACTCGTGAAAGCTTAGGCATCATTAAAAATTTTAATTTTAATTTCTGTGGTGATACACTAAAATTAGTATTGTATTCAGAATAATGTTATCAATATTGACTTTATATTAAAGTTACTTTTATTTTAACCTCATCAATAATATGGAAATATGTAAAATGTTTTAACATTTAGCTAAGTAAGCTTCATACTGTGATATTCATTTGGAATTCACAACTATTCTACCAACCTTATTTATAATTCACAACTATAATAACATTTCTCTTAATTAGGAAAACTTTAGCTATATTAAGTAAACATTACAGTAGAATTATGTTTCTTAAATTATTTTTTAATATTCACTTTACTTAAAATATGAAAATTGATGGACACTTGATGGATAAGCAGAGGGATGCACTTACAAGTATATAATTTTTAATTTTTAATTTTGTTATCTTCATAAAAATTATATTAATTCAATTCGATGATAGCTGAGTGTAAGTTTTTACTTCATTATGCTAAGTAAAGTTAGATTGGCCATCGATTTAACATCTCGTTTTGAAATAATTTTATGAATTACACTTTTAAAGGATGATAAAACTGCAGAAGCATTTTTATAAGTGCAGAGCGAGAATTGTTAGTAACATCATAATATTGGAAATGGTGTCAAAAATACTTTATCTTTCCTTTTCTTTTAATATTCCATAATATGAAATTTGATTTCTATGAATTTAATATATTTTTTAAATGTAGAACTAAAATATACACTAAACGAATCATTAAATATCTATAAATATGTGATATCACAGAAGAACTTATTTAAAATATTCAATAGAATGGTTGATAATGTAAGTGTATAAAAATTTAAAAGACACACATCCAAAGACACAATACCATTAAAAATTATACATATTTGCATCAATGATCCAAGCTGACGTCATATTTATTCGAATAGTTTATCTTCTACACACGTACAAAATTCATGATTATAAAAATAATATTTTTTTTGTATTTAGAAGAATATCATACGTAAGTTTCTTTACATATATTAGTTACAAAATCCCAAGGAAACGTCTGTGAAAAAGGTACTTATTAGATTTTATATTGTAACCTATTTATTGATAAATTCAGTCAATAAAATCTTCACCATAAAGATACTTTTCCATCTTATGTAAAAAAGGAAAAAGAAAGCAGGATTTAGACGTGTGTATAGGAACCAAATGTCTGCTCCCGTTTTATTATAAATCGCTTTCTCATTCGATCGATCAGGCTTCAAAGATGTTCCCAACTCAATGGATTGAGATAAATGTGTGACGCTCAATTCAAAAGCTGCATAGAAGTATTACTGTAGATATGATATATATTCGGAATTAAACTCGCTGTGTCTTTTTTGATTGATTTTCCCAAATTTATTAAAACTTTTGTTTGTTTTCATACATGGTTTTAAAGAGTATTGATTTTATTAGCTTCTTATTTGTTTTCAAATTGGAATGTCTTCTGTTAAAATTCGAGCATATTTTAAACATGTACGTTAGAGTTTATGATTCTGACTCCGAGAAAATAGGTTGTGATATAAAAGATGTCAAGCCATAAATCTGTTTGTACTTTATTATTGTGTTGCTTAGTTACATCAAGTTTATATAGAGTTAAACCTCTGATAGCAGCTAATATTTAAAGTTTAAACATTGGGTGGAGTGCAATTTGCGTATAATCGCTAACCCCATTATTCAATGTCTAACCCTGTCCAAACTAAATGCTACACATTTTTCCCACATGTACGGAACACATGTTGTTAATCTTCATTATTTTTAGCCTTTATTTCAGATATGTATGGAAGTACAGACGACTTCCAAACGGTAGCTCTAAGCAATCTTGATCGCTCGATATATTTTGTATTTCAAAATAGTATATCAACATAACTTATAATACTTACAATATTTAAAAAATTTAATACGTCATGAATATGAATAAACTTTGCCCCCATATATTTAAACCTTCAGATATAAATACTCAGCTTCTCAGAATCCCGTAACAACTTTATTTACTTCCGTGTTTTCCAAATTACCACCTTTATTACCAAAAGAACTTGTTGAATGATAAAATTATATGTTAAAAATTAAGATACGAAAAAGAGGCGCCTTTCAAAAGTAAACGAAAAATAAAAGATTAAAGTTAAATTGAAAACTTCATTTACACATACCAATTAGTATAAGAGCAATTATTGTACATAGAGAAATATTATCCTTTAAGTAACCACTATAACAAACTATGTATATTCATGAGAAATAAGGCATAGTGTTCATTTATATAGTGTGAATATAATTTATTTCCATTAAGTTGCAATGCAGTTACAATAATCTGCTACCTAGTTTGTTTTTAGATATACATAGATCCGATGTTTAAAGGTTTGACCAAAAGGGTAAAAAATACTGTCTTGAAAGAAAAGGAAAAACTTTGTTTTGCAAATTAAAATTATATTTTCCATGACTTTTCTAGTCGAACGTTTTTTTATATTTCAATAATATAAATATATGAATGTTTGTTACCCCGTTACATATATAAGAAAATTTGAAATGACTTCCCTTTTACTACATTTTTAACCTGATTATTAAAATCCTGATTAAAAAAAATAATAATTAGCTGATACCCGTCAAGGCATTGGCTTTGCTCCTAATGTTACCAAAACTATACAAAGCAAGAATATAAATATCCTTGAAACCGTAGTGTTTTTTTTATTATAAATATCATATATAACGACTTATAATAGATTAGCAACAAAAAATTCTTTATTTAATCCTTTTCTGGCATCAATAATGATATGTCAGAGATTACTAAAAAATTATAAGTACACATCAATTTATAAATTTATTTAGTTAAATTTTTTGAGTGCGCTGCTCATACATCTATTAATCCATTCTAGTTGTTAAGAAATTTAACACTTTGATTTCAATTTGAATTTCAAGATAGTGACTACATTATAACATCGAAGTTGTAAGTAGAATGTACAAATATCGGCTTATTGGCGCTGACATATTCATAGAAGATTACAAGGCGAGAGCCCTTTGCCCTGCTCAAATAAAACCTTTAATATATAAACGCCATGTCATCTACAGTACCACCTTGGTTTTTTAAATACTAAGATTCAACTCACTATAGAATAAGAGGCAAATAATTGTCTAGTTTTGCCATTAGGAACCCTTATAATATACTGTGATACAATGTTTATAGGAAACTTACCGATGCGAATAGGTATTTCAATGGGAAATCACCACCATCCTAGATAGTAAGCTAGTGCTTGAAAATGTTTGTTCCGAGGAGGCCATCATATTTGTGATGCTGAAAATCTAGAGGCTGAAGCATCAGCATTTAAAACATGAAATCACGATCAATAACTTGCTCGTGCCTCATCAGAACAGCGAGAACCACTTAAAGCAACCCATATTTGAGCGATATTTAAGCGGATATTTAAGCGGGTGTATACAAAGGTGATTATGGCTATGGCTTGACGTAATTTGAACAATCAAATTGGTGTATAGGTATAAGGATTAAAGAACTTATCTCTTATATAAAATTAGGCTCCCATTGAAGTCGGCAGTGTAAGGAGACGAAATGGACATACCATGCCACTTCACTCAGTTAAATAAACCACCAATTCCCGCTTATGAAGACAGGTACGAAAGGTACCAACATACAGACTTGAGGCTATTAAAATGAAACATTTTTGAAATTCCAATTAACCCATCATCAAATATAAAACCACATATCCGTGACCACTCCACAAGACCACAAGACACAGCGTATTAAAATAATACAAAACTTACTCACAGACACTTAAATATTGTCAGTTTGTCATCCCGGCTATTGAAACGTAACGTAAACTCCGAGAATACGTAAAAATATCATATTAAAAAACGAGTGTTTTATGCGAAATATTTAGTTTTATTTAAATGTTTACATGTGAAAATCTTAGATATTATTAACCTCAAAAATAAAAATTTTAAACAGTATAATACATATTAGCCTCAAGGCATATGATTAAGGTTTACTTTAAATTTCGAAGCAATATGTCTTTCTGTGCATACATGAGACATCATATTGATTTTTAATCAAACACGAATATAAAATAAAATGTATAAGAAGATAAAAAAATATATAACCGGCACTTTTCTTTAAAATTGGTCTGGAGGGCTTCTGGATGAAAATTCTCAGATAACGAAAAAGAGCAGCATATGCAAGACCAAGTGCTATTAAAAAAAACGAAAATCACTATATTTACATAGAAAATGTCTGGAAAGATTATTTTGATAGTTTAAACAATTTACAACGAAACCTGATGGAAACAGAGTTTTAAAAGTGTGGTAGGTGATAGGATATTTATTTTCGAATCTCTCTCTTTCCAAGCAATTTTCATATTAATTTTCAACGAGTCCAATTTCTAGGTGGCCTCTAATTTGCTATGACAATTAACTAAAGGAAAAGGTCAACACTAAAAGTCGTGGGTGTGGATCTAAGTACTACATGTTTTCCACACAATCAGCTTTATGTAGCTTTGTCCAGGGTTAGCAATTCTAACAATCTGCAGGCTTTGATTCCTGATTACTATGTGTTTGATTACTTTAAAGTGGTTTTGTTAACCCCCAAAGACGATGTTTATAATTCAATAAAGTATAATCCAAGATATAATCATAAAATGAAGCCCATTCTCAGTTTTCCACGTGGTTGAAGTCGCGGGCACAGTCTGTTATAAATCGTAAATGAAATATAAATATTCTAATGAAAAATATCTTAAATATCGTATAAGAATAGATTAAAACAAAATGTGTTTTTTTCATATTATGATGGAATTCAATACATAATTAACTATTCCAATATTGGAAATTAGCTACAAGTGTAGTAAAAATATATGTTCTTTTTTTTATTGACTATCACATATACATAAACATTTAATGAGCTGCTTAAGCTTATCGCTTTAGTGATTAATTGGATATTTCTCTTACCAGAAAGTTTTTCTAGCAAAGCGAGATGTACGGTTTAAAATTCAAAATCACATCCTTATTTATGTGTTAGTACTTTTAGATTTTTTAGAACATGTAATAGTTATGATGGCAATATATTTCAAAAGGTTTACAGATTTATGGTGAAATAAATAAAGCAAACCAATTTTTGGAAAATTTATACATGAAATAACAGAAAATATTGTTTGATATACGGCTGGGCTTACTTTTATTAGAAATATTTTTATTTTGTTTATTTGTAGGTCTCGTCACACTCTTCTGTGTGTCAGCCTTCGTTAAGAGGGACGTTGGACGAATGAGACTCGAGAGGAGTACTGAAGCTAAAATCAATATGAGGGAAGGGTTCGTTTATTTATTGATAGTAGTATATTAGAAATCAGCAAACATGATAAGGTTACTTTTGCTATTATTGCTAGGACAAATAAAATTATATTGTTCATATGAAACATATAGAAGTTGTTTTGTCAGTATGTGAACATTTCGTTTTGCTTTTTAGTTATGAGAAAACTATCAGTCATTAAAATAGAAAAATTCGTGTTAAATTTCAAATTTTAAAACACTACATAAATATTCTTTTAAATAGAATTGATTTTGTTTAAATTTAAATTGCAATAAAAAAGTTGTGGTTGTACATATATAAACAAAGACTGAAATTATTTCAGGCATGAGTCGACGTCTGAAGAACCGGTTAAGAACTGTGTCTGTTCCAAGGTTTACGATCCGGTTTGCGGATCAAACGATAAATCATACTACAACATTTGCCAGCTGCAATGTGAAAATAAACCCGGCACTGTTCACGTTTTGCATCAAGGGAACTGTATACCGTTCTGATTAAATTCCGAGCTGACCTATAGAAATAAAAAACCAATAAACCAAAGTCTTTGCTTTTTATTTCAATCAAAATAACTGTATATATATATATAAAGAAGTTAGGTAGATTGAGATAATAATTATATGAATAAAACGTAAAGAAAAAAATCTGTAGCATCATGATTGTATTTATTATCTTCTGCTTTATATAGGAGTATTCCGGATTTCTGGAAATTCCTCTCCCTTCCCTATTGTTCTACTTTAGATAATAATCAATTCCATAATTGGTGGTGCAATAACGTACTTAGGGATACAATTAGGCAAAGTAATTATTCACTCGCAGTTTAACTTCATTCTCGTTTAATAAAAAATGAATTAGCCATAAAAATATAGTAAAAACGTGTATTAAGATAACATAACACATGAATTATGTTCATTTATAATTGTTTCTGGTAGTTCTATAAAAAAAATATTCTAACATTTTGTTGCTTTACGTATGTATAGCATTTATATTTTTAATTTCTACATTTAAAAAACTGTCAGAAAGAGGTATGATATCTCTTTTTTCTTTGAATACAAGAGTATGTCATCTCCTAAAGCGTGCCTTATAATATTGTCATGTGATTTTTCATTCAATAGTAATTAAAACCTTCTTTTATTTATTGAGAATGTGGCAAATTTCAAATATACTCTTAATTAGAATCCCAAGAATAGTAATGTTAGTCATATTTGAAGGTGATATACCTATGTCAATTTTCAAGATTATTAGTTATTACAAATATCATTAAATAACGTGAATTGATAAAATTTTAAAAATCTTGATACCATTTACAAATTTAAGAAACTACTACAGGAAGACAATACCACTTTATCTAGGATATAAATTAACTACTAAAATTCTTTTAAAGTTTAGGTTCGGGGATAATTGCCTGAAGTTTCACAGAAAACCTTTAGTCACTGAATAGTTAACAAAAATTTGACGCGAACAATTTAACAAGTTTGTATTGTACTCCGTTACCACAGCTACGGTATTAAAACTTACCGCAAAACCGTTGTATGAAGGTCTCCCAAGTTTAAGGACTGTATTGTTATTATAATAAACGATAAGTAAACCTAAGAACTACTAGTATACATTACATTTAATTAATATATTATTTGGAAAGTCTAATAGATCAAGGATTAAAGTTTTTGGTAAAGTATATTAAAAATGTCAACAATTGTTTTTTTTTATTTAAAAAAAATAAAATTCGTCTTGTCAAATTCAGACCTCGTGTAGATCCGGACGATAAATAGGAATTTAAGGTATAATTAATGAGAATAACTTTAATTATACATATTTGGCTTAAATATAAAAATAAATATATATTACTTTAGTTGTTAATATCAGCTATATAACAAGTATGAAAGTGTCACTCAAGGACTAAATTACGTGCAATTTATGTAAATTCGTCTATCCGCTGAAACGTGTTGTTATAAACAGATAACAGTATTAATTTTCATCATATATAATAATAATAGGAGACTTCAAAGGACATTTAATTAAAGTTCTCAATAAATATATCATTACAATATATATTTCTGATTTTAATCAGACTTGTGTGTCTTAATTATAAATTATGTAATTAAAATCAAAATATAGGTAAATTTTCTCGTTCTCTATAAATTAACACACAGGGAATTAATATTAAACACTTCAAAAACACGTTAATAAGAACCTCTTGCTTAGAAAAGATGTGGTTCCTTAACTACAATTATTATATAAAAGCTATTTATTTTTATATTCTATGAATAACGAAACTTAAAAATTACAAACTTTCTTATTTTAAATTGATCACGTTATTATTGATCAAACTTCTAAATACTTGTTTTTGTATTATATACTTGGTATCTAAAGGATTATTTGGTTTGAAATTCGTTGTATAAAACTAAATTACCTTGGTAGCAATTTAATAATATTGTATTATCAAGTGTCTAATCGTTATTAAATATAATATGTACATATGTAAATGACATATACCGTCTTCTGATACGCGATGTGTCATATTTTTTGTAAACAGAAGAATGAGAAATATGTTTAGATGAGAAATATCCTCAAATATATTGTGGCTTAAACTATATTATTATTAATTTGATTTCCACTCAAGCTCATCGTATTGTACTAATTTGTTGGAATATACCTTATATTATAATAAATGAATGCGAAATGTCTTTATTTATTTACAATTTAAAATTCGATACAAATACCACGCCTTACAAATTTTAGGTCCCGCTTCTGACAATTCATAATGCAAATGTTCATAAAGGTTTCATTAGTATTCGTGCACACGGGAAGATAGACATTAGGGCACTGTTCACAAGGCATGGTCGCATTTATGTTAGGCAGATAGTGTTCTATTGACTTTCTTGTTGTCCAAGGCTTTGTTTGTAAATTTACATTAGACGCTAATAAAAGCAGGATTAAAAATCGTACTGAAAAATAATAAAAATATAAAAATTAAAATCACTATAGGTACTATTTCTTATAAATTTTGCTTACAGTAGAGGAGCATAATAACTTATTCGCCTAAAAGTCGAAATTATATTTGAATTGTTGTAATAATTCGATTTAGCTTGTAACTGATAAGCGTTTAAGAGATCATTAAAGCTAATTGCACTGAACAAAAACGATTTTTTTTATGTACTCATTTATCTGCATATTCATTTGTCTTTGGGTTAAAATATCACTATTGTCCAAATATTCAAATACCATCCACATAGCCTAGATGGATTCAATTGAATATTATCTAGAAGGAACCATTAAATATTTTATTTTGAGTTTCATTTATTTTATGTTAAAAGATAACAACCGATGAAACTAGAACGATGAAACTCTAAAAGTCTTTATTTTAAGAAATAAATGTAAAGGGGATTAGGGTACTACTCTTATTTATAACATAAAATGAGTAATAGTGACAGTATCTGGTTTCAACTAGCCAAGCCACAAGAAACAAACTATGTTATAAACCACAACTTATAGATGAAATACATATAATTATATTTATATTTTCTTCAATTATATTTTATATCCTTTTACATACATGTTGTATCAGAGTTCATTGAAATGACTTTATAATAAAAACAATTTTAATATTCTTAATTTTAATTAATACACGTCATGCGAATAGATATTTTCTGAATTTCAGCTTTTAATGAAAGTCATCTTCTCAAAATAGCTGTTTTCAATATACCAGCTAGTAATACAATAAAACGATTCTGATATGTTTTTAGTTTTTCAATTTTAATAAATGATACGTTTCACTTCATATGCGTTTAAAATAAGAAATAATGTAATAAACACTATTATCAATAAAAAAATCTTTGCTTTAAAATTGGGTTGTAATAAAAAAAAATGTGGTTACTTAAAATTTTATTTTTAATAATTACAGTAAACATATTTGTGAAATGAAGAAATATATTTTTTATTAGAGTTACATTTTAGCTAAAGATTAATATTCGAGCGGTTCAAGGAACTGCAAACAAAGACCAACATAATATAGTTTTACATTAGTATTCTTGAGAAAATTTTTGCAATTTAACCAACACAGGTTTGTGTACGTTTTGTTATCGGTGCCACAAACTGGAATGTACACTCTTGGACATTTGCAATCTTTAATTTGTTCTATCAATGGTAAATAGTCTGTGGCTACTTCCCAATACCAGCTCTGAAAGTCTAAGGCGTCCTGATGGTTCAAGGTCGGGTTGAGAGTTTGACACATGATTATCGCTGTCCATAACACTATTATTGCTGTAACTGAAAGAAACACGATTATATAGTGAATCGTAAAAATATATTGTAATTATATTATTTTCTACATCAAATTATGTTATTAATATTTTGGGAATGAAGTCTATAATGAATGAAATTAAAACAAAAAAAAGTAAACATACACACCGCAGGCTTTTTTTATTATTATCGAATGCCCAGTTCTAAATCGTGTTATTCTTAATTAATTTCTTTCTTAATAAAGACAAAATATTTTATGTTTTATAGTAACTTGCTACCACAATATTTTTATGTGTTGCAATTGTTTTATAGTATGAAAAAGTTTAACATTAAAATCTTACATTAAATCCATTTTAAAAACATCTACCTACATATTTAATAACATAATTGAAATAGAAGAATCAGTTCTGATTCGCTTTAATTTTAATTCCTGGAATACAATTTTTTTTAAAGTTTTCTATTTATAAACATTCTAATTATTTTTTTCAATAACACTATTTCTAACAATGAAGTTATTTTATACAAATAAAAATTACTAATAGTTCCTTTTGGAAACACCAAAGCCATTCTAACTTTAATTGACAATACGTTTTCAACTTTCAAGACAAATAGATAAAGTTAAGCTTTTATCGTAATCGAACTTTTTTAATCTAAATTAAAAAATCATTCGGTTTCTGTATCTAAATTATTTCCCTAACTTTTAAAATGTTATACCATTTTAGTGTTATCGGCAACATTGTTGGTTATGTTAAAAATATTTTATTAAACGCTGGAGTTGTTTAACGAGTGTCAGATGTAATAGACAGTACTAAAACCCAATTCATAATATATTTCGCGGATTTAATACAAATTCGTGTTTTTAAAGAGACGCCAGCATCACCAACGTCACTAATGTCACTTCTTTCAGTGCGTTTCATGCTACTTTTGAAATGAAACTTTAATTCTCCTAGATGTTCTTGTATTTCTCGAAGGTTCTTCATAATCACATTCTTCAATGGTCCGCACTCTCTGAACTCAACTGTCGTGCGTCCAAATGTCTTATTTAAATACCAAATTTGAAACATAGTTATTTTTTCCTTCTAAACAGTCCTTGATTTCGTTTTACTTAAAAAATAATCATGAATAACAATAAGTTTTATTATAATTCATCTCGTATATCTTCAAGGATTTAATGTTTATAGTTTAATAACAAAGTGACCGTGTAAATATTTAAATACTTGTTCTTTTAATATAATTTAGTTAATCACGTCAATCCTTT